TAAAAATATTCCTCTGAATTGTACAAGAAGGGAGGTAACAGGGACAATTGTTAAAAGACTTTGTATAAGATGTTATTCAGATTTGGTTTCTTTCTCTCCTGCTGAATCAGAGACTGGAACCTGGAAAGAACATAAAACAAAAATTATAAAATTGCTCATTATGTTTGATATTTCCTGCAATATTTCCAAACAAATTAGTAGTACGGATAAAATCAAAATGTCAAGAGATATATCAAACTGGATATTGCAAAATCACCTCAACTTCACAATGTCCAAAACCAAACTCATCATCTTTTGCCCCAAATACACACATCCACCAAACTTCTCTGTCAAAGGCACCAGCATTCTTCCAGTTTCCCAGGTTTGCAATCCAAATTATCCTTCACTTATTCTTCTTTACCCTATGTAGTTAATCAGTAGCCAGATCTTGCCATTTCTAATTTCCTATGTCTTCCATCCAAACCCTTCTATTTATATATCCACTACCTTAGCTCCAGCCCCATTACCTTTCATATAGATTACTTCAATGGCCTCCTAATTGGTCTCCTGCCTCAAATGACTACCTGCTCCAATCTATCTATAGCTGCCAGTGATTTCCTTTAAGCCTAGAATTGACCCCATAACTTCTCTACCTCAATTAATGCCAGGACCTCCCATTGTCTATGGGGATTATCTATAAATAACTTTGGCTTTCAAAAGCCTTTCACAACCTAGCCTCAACCTATCTTTCCAGCAGTTCCCCTCCTGCACTTATGATCAAGCCAAACTGGCCTTCCCTGCTCCTCACACATGACACTCCATCTCCAATTTCCATTCCCATATTCCAGTTTTCTGTGTGAAATGCCCTCCCCTCCCCACCTCCACCTTACAGAATCCCTTTACTTCTTCAAGATGCAGCTCAAGTGCCATCTTCTACAGGAAACCCAACTGATAATATCCAACCTCCCTAAATACTGTGTATTCACTTCATATTTATTCTCTACAAATCTACATATGTACAATGTCTCCTCCAAGAGAATCTAAGGCATTTAAATGGATGAATACAATATTTTCTTATAGTGAGATACTTAGTGTGGATTGGGAGCCAGAGTTCAAATCTTGGCTCTGCCACTTACCACCTGTATGACTCTGGGTAGAACATTTATTCTCTCTGGGTATGTTTCCTCAACTGTGAAAGGACAGGATTGGCTTAGAGGATCTTTTCTGTCTCTGAACCTATAGCACCTATACTGGTGAAATTCTGTCCATATGCAAATATTCTAGCTCAGTTACCTAAAATTTATGATGACTAAGTGTGCACCTGAAGATATAATTTTATAAAGACTAGAAACCATGATGTTGAAATCTGTTTACCTTATTTTATAGTGAGGCTGTTTTTTATTAACACGAAAAATTGCTATCTGAGAAAGTCAAGGCATATGGCAAAGAATAAGTACTGACCTCTTCAGTTTTAGTTTCTCCATTTTCTGCAGGCAAGTCATCTTTATTTTCCTCTTGGTTAGTAGCTTCTGCTTGTTTTCCTTTTGCTCCTTTTTTTCCTTTTGTGTGAACTTTTTTGTCCTGAGATTTATCCTATAGACATATTAAAAACAGTGCTTTACATATTAATACATCTTCCTAGGTATTAAACTTTGTCCTTTCATAGCTCAATTTCTACATTGCATATTAATCTGAATTACATAATAAACTTTCCAAGAGCAAAAACCAAATTTTTCCATGAATCCAGGATATTCTAAGGAACTTTTTTAAAGTGCTGATTAATAATAATATCACAGTAAGTTTTTAGTACTTAAATATTTTGTGTATAAAACACTCAAAAGTTTTGCTTTATTTTCCAAATTATCAAGTTCTTATCCAAATCATATATTAAAAAAAAAAAAGAATATCCATCTTTTAAATCCTCAATAGTCAGAGGAAGGAGGGGAGGGATTGGGTTGATGAATTCTAATTATCTACTCTCCTCCTCCTCCTTGGAGATTAACGAATTACATCTATTTTTAAAAAACCTAATCTTTCTATGAAAAATATTTTTATCCTCAATTCTGTACTTACTAAAGACTCTTTAAAACAAAGTTTGCCATTGGAATAGCTAACATGAAAAAAATTCACTTTACTACATTTGCCAAATCTCTTTTTCTTCTTTTTTAGCATATCTTAAGGAACAAGCCAATACAAGTAACGTTTTAATAGTTCATAATGAAATCCAACAAAGAATCAAGATAGCAGTTTTACAATCACTGAAAATGTTGACCTTTCAATCTTACCCTGACATCACTTAACAGTCAAAAGCAAAGAGTAATAAATTTATATTTTTATTATCTCTATTTAGGTATTTGAAAATTTGGCAGCTATGAGAAACCCCAATCTGAATTTTACTTAAACAAAAACATAAACTTAAGCTGTTTTAATGAAGTACAGCATTATGATTCAGCTATGACTAACTTGAGTAGAGATAAGATTCATATTTTAAGAGTTATCCAAGTTTAATAAATGAATTCTCTAAAAATTTCCTATAATTCCCAAATGCACACCAATGAAATGTTTCCTCTAAAAAGATGGACTGCATTCTTAAGCTTCCTTTTACCACCATCCAAATGAAGTTTGTATGTGTGTTTATGTGTGACAAATTCAACATTGCCATAGGAAAAAAAATTAAAAAAAAACCCACTCAAGTTTACATCCTAGTATAAGGTTAGTATAGCATGAGCTTCACATATGAAAAATGGGGCATCATTAAAGACATTTGCTGTTCAGTCATGTCTGACTCTTTGTGACACTGAATGGAGTTTTTTTGTTTATTTATTTTTAGCAAAAATACTGGAGTAGTTTACCATTTCCTTCTCAGTGGATTAAGGAAAATGGAGATTAAGTGACTTCCTAGGGTTATAAAGATAGTGAGTGATGAGGCTGGATTTGAACTCAGGCATTCCTGACTCCAGGCCAAATTCTTTATCCACTGAGCCATTAAAGACATAAGACTGTTCAAAAACACTGCTTAGTCCATAAGACTTGGAAGCCATATTAAACTGAAGTAAATTAAATTTATTGAATACTAATAATGTGTAATTTAAAAATTAAAAGTATAATTCATTCTTCTTAAGTAGCTCCACAAGGCTAGACCCATACAAGATAACATACACTTGGATGCATCTAGAGACTGATGAATGAGTATTATATAAAACACAACTTATGGAATGTATGGATGATCTTCATATATGAAAAGTACTTTATATACATTACCTCACTTGAGCCTCACAGTAGCCCTGGTAAGAAGGTACTACAGGTATTTATGCCCTTTTCACTGATGAGGAAAATGAGGTTCAGAGAGGTTAAGAGTATTTGAACAAGTTCCTCTTCAGTGCAGCACTTCCACCCATACTACCATGTTGCTTCTCACATAAAGTAACTGCATTTTGATAATAAAGGTCTGTTAAAGTCTAACTAGCATGAAGACTGTGGCATAAATTAGAAAGAAGAGAACAAAACAATGGCTTTTGTGGATAAAACAGAAACATTTTAAATAAAGATGGCATTGTTTTCAAAAAAAAAATTTGAATGATGCCCCAACTATCTGCATCTCTAAGAGCAAAGTGGTGACTATTGTCAATACCCAGGAAAATTTACTGGCATTTCTAAGATTGCAACTGACACTACAGTTGGTTATAACTGAAATAAGGCTATTAGAATAAAATTATTCTAATGTTATTCTAACTCTCAATATGTTATTCTCCTGTGGCATTAAAAGCTTTTATTGGTTTATTATGCTTATGCCTTTCTTGAGCTGTTTAAGATCTCAAGCAAAGTATTTTTAACAAAATAAAAATTTAAGAATTTTATATAAAGGCCAATTTACCCAAATTTCAAAAGTACAAAAGAAAAATTGGAGTTTTAAAAAAACTGCTTTTATTAAAAATAGGTCAACAATATGTTGGCAAATAAAAGTGAAAAACCAGTGGTAATTTATGGTCAAACTTGCACATAATCAGAAAATACTACCAAAAACAAATAAACTTTAAAAATCATCCACCTAACATATAGATTTAAAAACACTGAGGAATTATTAACTCTCTAACCTGATTTAGAATCAAACAAGTTTGTTGTTAAATTCTGATATGGATTAAAAAATTATGATTTCATTTTTGTCTTTGATGAGCAACCAAAATCAGACATCTAATAGTTATGACTTCATCCAACAATTTACATCAGATGCAAACTTAATGATTTACTCTTCTAAGAATATATATTTTGGTTCTTCTGAAGATTGATATAATATATTTGAACTTTCTTAGTAGTATTTTTTTGCTGTATGCTTTGAGTGGACTTGTGAATTTTCCCTTCTGATTTTGAAGAGCTTCTCAAAATGAAGCTTAGTGAGAGAATATCATTTAGCAAACTGATTAAATATTTAAGAGTTTAGCAAAATTAAAGACTTTTTAAAAAACTGGTATAGAGAACTCAATGTTTGGTGTCTAGCTCAAATGAACTTCTGAGTAAAAAGCATAGTCTGATTACACTATTCTTGATTATTGACAAAAGGCAGAATAAAATAATCTGGTTTTCTAACAGATTCCAACACTGAACCATAAATATGAGATTTGGTTGAATGGGAGTAGAAAGAGAAGCAGCAAAGACAAATTCAAATTAATAATTTAAATACTATCCCAACAATTTCTAGGTTCTTTTCAGGTACAAAAATCTTACCTTCCCACCTGTCTTTTTGGGCTTAGGTTCAACCTTTGCAAGGACTGGTTTCTGGAAGACAAAAGTATCTGTATTTCAATGTCTGATATGTAATAGAAAATAAGAATGAGTAAAGTTGGCTTTACTTACAGCTGACAATCTGGCCGACCTCCTCTTGGGCTTAAAAAAACAAAAAGCAAAGTAATTTAAAATATGCATTTAACTTAATGATGCTTCACTCCCCAAGACCCACATTTCTTGAAATTCAAACGTCCTTACCTCCTCCTTTACGTCCCCTTCTGCAGAGTTGACCTAGTCAAAAATATGCAAAAGTTAATAATATCAAAAGCATCAAATGAACCCAGATCCCAGAATTTCCCAGAACAACGTCTCAAATTAGGGAGACTTTTTGCCTTAGGGAAAATTTGTCTTCAGAAACTTCAGAATAAGATTTAATAGAAATATTATTCAAATTTTGAACTTCACCCCAACTGAAGCAAAAATTTCGACAAGGCAATCTCAATAGGCAGATGTCACTACAGTAGAGTGAAGGGAAGGAGGTATGATAAATCAAAACAAAAACAGACAATAACCACTCCAACTTTTCCCCATCAGTCAAGTCTTTAGGAGTAGCTCCATATTTCCCAAACCTGGTCTCCTTCCTACTAATACAGGGAGTAGCTGCTGCCAACCGGTTAACTCTAGGCGGGAGAAAAGTAAATTTTGGGAGCAGTTGGTATTGCAAAGTTCGAGAGAAAAAATGGTGGAAGATGTGTGGTTGGCGGAGGAATTTCATTCTCCCCGCAAGGATGCCACGGTAAGTGAGGTCTGCAAGTCAAGGCCTTTTCCTCTAATTTAATGTGTCTGTCTTCATTGCACATATGTTTGTGTGCTGTCTCCTCCATTAGGACATGAGCTCCGGGAGGCGAGGGCCATGATTTCGCTGCATTTGGGTCCCGAACACTTAGCAGGAAGCCTCGCGCACTGAGGTGCGACTTGACTTTTGCCCGCAGCCGGCCCCCAGGAGCGGGGCCTGGGGCATCGGACGCCTCGGGCTCCCCGGGAACGGCAGACAGAGCCGGTCACGCGTGTCAACTCCGCTCGCGGCTGGCGCGGGCCACGGCAGTGACCGGACGACCGCACACTAACCTTCCTCTTGGGCATCTTGGCTGTGAGTGGGGATCGGTTCCCTCTCCCCAGACTCGGGTGAGCGCCGGCGGGAGCGACAGGGCTCTGGGGTCGGAGAGAAAGGGCCGCGGCCGCGAGAGCTCCTGGACAAGCCGGGTTCCTGGGCCTCGACGCCCCTCCTCCCGCCGCTGGGCTGCTAGGAGCCGCAGCCGGAGCAGTCCCAGAACTAGATGGAACCGGATTGGAATCCCGCCTCCTCCCCCTTCCTCCATCTCCCTCTTCCCGCCGGTCCAGGCCACTCTCCGCCACAGCCAATTGGCTAGGTCCGCCCCCCTCCTGCCGTTCAAACGCCGACACAAATCGGGCATAGGCGGAAAGCACAGTCAGTCACTGGAAATCCCTGCTCCTCCCTTTCACCCTCCCCTTCAATTCTTTCTCGTCCTCACTTTTCTTCTTCCGGAGTCTGGGACCGGAGGAGGAAGCGGGGCCGGCCACCTACCCGCCCCCGGCTCCCAAACCGCTACTCCTTCTCTCACTTTGCTGGAAGCGGGGCTGTAGGCTCCGTCTCCACCCTCATTGGCCGAGGTCGGCCACGTGCCTTTACTACGTTCCGGGTTCTTACGCTCAAGCCCCAACCCCTATTCGTCGACTTGTTTTACGTAAAATTCGTTGCCCCCTGGCCAGGTCCTAGAGTTAGATGTAAAGCTTAAGTTTTTGCGGCTTCTTTTTTCCCAGGGATGATGAGGCTTGAATGCTTCTTGCCATTTGAGCTTGTACTAGGAGATGGGGGAAGGCAAATTAAAGAAAGAACACAGACGAGTGTCTGCTTTTCACCTTTCCCCCAAGAAGTGAAAAGAACCTCTGACAGCTAGATCTCCAGCGGCGCTGGTCTACGCTGCGTACGCAGCGCCGCGGAAGGAGGCGCCATAGTCAGTCAGAAGCCGGGGAAGTGGGGGGCGGGGGTAAAGTGGGAGGCGGGGGTAAAGTGGGAATTCTCCAGCGCTGGACTCGCTGGATCATGGAGCACGATTGCGCAGGCGCCTCCCAGCGCGGGGGATCCTGGGCAGATTTGCCTGCACGACCCCGGGAGTCTTGAGAAGATGACTTTAGAGGAGAGAGAGGGATGCGTTTGGCTAGTCGTGCTTAGCTCTGTGTTTGTGTGTAATCTCCTTAAGCTTCTCCTCCCCTCCTTCTCTTCTGTCGTAAGTAGCTGCCCCTACCGCGTCCCCGATTCCCAGCTTTCCTGGAGCCGGGGGGCGCCCGGGATCCCTCCCCCCCTTTAGGCCAGAGGCGTCTTGAGATCGCAGCTTCGGTTGGTCGGGGGTCCGTCACCTGCTGGACGGGCCCGCCGTCCTCCCACTCCAGGACCCCTTAGGGGCCCGAGGCCGAAGGAAGACCGGCTTTCATTCAGATGCAGGGAGCATTTGTTAAATATTTATCATGTGCAAAAAATACTGAAAAACAAAAACCAAAAAACCCCCAAACCACCCATTGTTCCCAAAGTGCTGACTGTCCACTGGAAGACGCATCTTAAGTAAATTCAATGTAATTTGAGGCGTGTGGAGGCAGTAACTGCCATCTGGGAAAGGCCGACCGAGGAAGGAGGTGGCCCCCTTGTGAACTTTAAGGGAGGGAGTCGGGCTGGAGGGTGAGGCAGGAGGGTGAACCTAGAGGGAAGGGAAATGGGGTGCCAGGTAGTGGGAGCATCAGGTCTGCCAGCTTCCCTGGAGCGTAGACAGCCTGAATCTCAGTAACTTGGAGGAGGAGGAGAAGTGAACAAGTACTAAGCGCCTGTTATGTGCCAGGCACTGTGCTGAGTGCTTTACCATTATCTCATTTGATCCTCACAGCAACCCTGGGAGGCAGGTGCTATTATTATCCCCATTTAACAGATGTAGAAACTGAGGTGACACGATCTCGCTGCTGGTAAGTGTCTGAGGCCATATATGAACATATTTGAGTCAGGACTTCTGACTCCAGGCTCAGAACTGTATCCGCTGTTCTGCCTAACTTCTTTACAAAAAGTATTTTAAAATATCATCTCCTTAAACAGGTTAATACCAAACTCTGGAGGGCTTTTTTGTGTTAGGATAAGGAGTTTGTATTATATCTTAGGGGCAATAAAGAATTACTGATGTTTTTACGGACAGAGATTTCTTTAGACCTGTTGCCTTAGGAAGATTATTTTGGCAGCAGTGAAAGATGGATTGAAGACAGAGAGTCAGATTAAGGACTAGTTAGAAATCTATTGCCATATTTCACAAAAGAAGTTGAAAGGGTCTCAATAAGAATATTGGCTATGTGAGTGGAGAAAAGGAGGTAGAAGTGAGAAATGTGGAGATAAATCAACAAGACTTGACAGCTAATCGATATTTAGGGGAGAAGAGTTGAGGATGACTGTTAGAATGGTTTGTGCTCTTAAAAACAGAAGTTTGAAGGAGGTACGTTTAAAGGGAATGAGTTTCATTTTGAAAATGTTGAGTTTGGGATGACTTCTGGCACATTCACATGGAAAGGTTAACGCCTAACTAATCTACTAATTTCTCTGCTTCATATTTCTCATCAGTTAGACAATAAATTCTTTTGGGCAGGAATTGTTTTTTCATATCCCAAGCATCCAGCTCAACACCTTCCACTTAGGTACTTAGCAAATGCTTTTTGAATTCAATTTGTGAAACAAAGTGAATTATTAAGTAATTTTTATAAATTCATTTTATTTTGTTTTTATCAGTTATATGCCCCACCCTCACACCATTCCTTATAACAAAGAAAACAGTTAAGTAAAGCTAACTGGTCACAGGGTCCTCTTGAAAGTGGGTACAACATCTTGAACCAGTAGTTTCCTACCTCTTGATAGAAAGGAGGATTTTTTTTTCATGATCAAGATGGTTCATTAAAATTGCCCAGCATTTGGTGTCTTTTCGACTATATCGTAGGAATTGCTTATGTTGTGGTCGTACTTCACTTTGTTCAATACAGGTCTTATGTTTCTCTGAATTCCTCTTATTTGTTGTTTCTTACAGCATGATAAATAATATTGCATGATACTCATGGACCACAGTTATGTATGCCTGTTCCCCAAACCATGGATGCCTAGTTGTTTAAAGTTTTTTCCTTTCACAAAAAGAGCTGCCATGAATATTTTCATATTATATGGTCTCTATCTTTTTGGACCTCTTTTGGGTTTATGCTCAGTAGTGGAAACTCTGGATCAAAGGATATGAGCAGCTGACTGATTTATAATGCTAATTCTTTTATAGAATGACTGGACCCAATTCATAACTCCACCAGCAGTATATTAGTATGCCTTTCCGCCTATCCATCACTATTTCCATCTTTGGTGATTCTTGCCAATTTGCTAGACCCCTAAATTGTTTTACTTTGCATTTTTGTTATTATTAGTGTTTTGAATAATCTTTCATCTGCAGTCAGTCCTCAACTTTCATGGGGGTAACATTTCTATAAAACACAAAAGTAAAAAACATAAATGTTGATACATTAAACATATGGAAAATAGGAGATAACATTCTTGTGACCACCAAAAACTGTAATCTTTCACTAGAGATTGCTGAAAATATATTTTCTGCATGCAGTTCTTTATAATTAAGCATTCTGATAATATGTACTTTTCCTAACACAGTAACCTTGAAATAACCCATAAAATGCAGTACACAAAATAAAATTGATAACATGCAAAGCATTTTTCTTGCTAATAATTCCCTATAATTCTGTGACCTTTTGTGCTAACATCTCAATAAAACAAAAAACAAAATAAAGAGCATTGATTTCAGGTGAATGGACTCTATACTACCATAAATACAGCAAGTAAAACTAAAACTTTTTAAAACCTGAATCTTACCTTCCACAGGGTCATATGGCAGTGTGAGGGCATTGTACTGTATATTATACTTTCCCCCTTTTTGTGGTTACAAGAAATCACCAAAATTAGGACCACGACAGCTGCAGACGTTGTGGCACCTTTATTTTTTCACTAAGCTGCATCACTGCATCACTGACTTTGCACACTTAGGCTTAGAGCCCAAAGGACTTGCGCTATCTTTGGCGGCATAATTGTAACCCAAAACTTGAGACAAGCCGTGAAAACATGCAATGAATGCACAGGATACTCTTTATAACAGAAGGTGAACAGGACCAATGAAGTGCCTGGTAGGAGACTAGCTGATCCACAAACTTGTGCATATCATGCCTCTCAGTTTTTTCTCTACTGTGCATAGCCAAATGTGCACAGTGCTTAATGTGGAAGTAAAAATGAGGTTACTAATAAAATCACGAGAATGCTTGAAGTCTTTCAAGTTAAACAAGGAAATATAGAGGACTAACTATAGTTGTTGATAGTTTGTGATTCTTCTTTTGGAAACTTTGTTCCTATCCTTGGCCCAATCCATAATCTGCTTGCTATTTGCTATCCTTGGTAGTACACTTAACTGGCTTTTGCCTGTTAGAATCCTTTGCTTCTTTCAAAGCTTACTTCTCATGTGCCCCCCTTGGGAAATTTATAACTTGTATTTACTTTTGTATATATGTATTGTTTCTTCCAACCCCAGCCCCCCCAGCATATAAGCTCACTGAAAGCTGAAAATGTTTTGTTTTGGTATTTTTATATTGGCACAGAGTGGAATGTGATAGGTGATTAATAAATATATGTTGAATTTAATTGAATTTTGGGGC